ACGATCTCCTGCACTTTGACTTCGTCCGGTATGCGCGCTTCGCTGACCCGCAACTTGTTCGGCTGCCCGTACGCAGCGCGTCCTCGACGACCGAATGTCTTCTCCACTTCGACGCACTCCTCCCGAAGTTCATCCACCGTGAGTACATCCATCGCGTAGACAAACCTGGCTATCCCATCCCTCAAGCCCTTTCTCACCACCTTTACCAATTGCCGCTCTGGCATTGGTTTTTTCAGGCGGGAGGCGAGTTGCTAAATTGCATGGATGTAATCGTCCACGCCCTCTCCTGGCTGCTTCTCACGCTGTAGTAGCTCGTGCATCCTTTTGTGTTCCGTCTGATAACCGATCCATCAGAGCCCTGCGCAGCTGGTTACAAGTGTCCACCTTAGATTGGCGTACAAGAACCCAATACCACTCCCTTGCTCTGCCCGATAGGAGGGCGTGGAAGTTTCGCAGAACTTAATTCCACGGACACTGATGTTGCCGCTGCAGGAACTCCAGACGGAACATGAAATCGTAGACGGAATTGCGGTCGTCCTCGCCGTCAAAGGAGACATTCCAGCGGTCCACTCGGATCCGTCTGTTCCCGTTGCCAGCTCCCGAGTTGGCGTAAAGCCGCGACTCGTCCTGAAATCAACAGCTCTTCGATCCTGGACACGCCACTGCCGAGCGTGGCGATCATTCCGGCCTGGTGGATGGTACTTCGGTTCCTGGCTCAGGCTGCTATCGATTCCCGGAGACTCGTCCACCAGTGGCTGAGGTCGCTGCCTGGGTGGCAACACTGGAGGCCTTCGGATACCTCTGGACTTCACCCGCTGCGCCACTTGGGGCGACTTCTGGACCCGTTGGCCTGGGCAGCAGTGATCCCTGGCGATCCCCGCTCTCCTGTAGGGCTGCGGTCTGCTCTCGGCTGGCCTAAGGACGTCGTTCAGCAACTTCATCATGTCCATGAATCCGTTCCTGATCTCCTCCCGAAACGTCTGGCTAACTCCCGACTCCTGGGACGCGCGGTATGCTTAGGCCTCTTGTGCTAGAGCTGCATTCGCCGCCGACTCAGCTGCTGAATCTCGTTCCAGGTTCAGCTATAGAGGATTCTTCTGCTCAGAAACTTCCAGCTTATCCTGCGACTCGGCGAACCCCTTGAAATCGAGATTTCTTGGCGACCGATGCTGTTCGATGTCCACCGGTTGATCCCTAATACGATCCACTGGACCACCGCCTACCGGCGTTCTAGGTAAACCCCCTGCCAGCGACATCCGCAATAACCCTGCAGAGCCCTCTCCGTCAGTGGACCAGAGTGCGTCTTCGTCGGCGTTGGGAGGACCCATCGGCCTTAGCTGATGGCCATGCCTACTGTCCGTATCTTTATCCATTCTTTCCCTAACTACTCAATAACCCGAAACCAATCAATAATAATAAATAATCCAATAAATAAATAATATAATATATAAGTGATGATGTTTTAAATTTTTGGTCATGCCAATAATAACCCACGGGCTGATGTTGCTTAGGTCTAGGACAGTGGTGGCCAGCAGAGGCAGCGCGCAGGGCCCACGGGATAGGCCATTTCTCTGCCCCTGCTCTGCCAGCGCGCTGCAGCCTTTCGGCGCACATGTACACTGTCAAGCTGAAAAACGTCACGCACACAGGCAAATTCGTGCATGCTCGCACTCACACAAAAGCAATGCATTCTTTTATTGTATGTGTGCTGCTTCTGCTGGCCACCACTGGTCTAGGAGCAGCGCACGCTATAAATTGCCGGCTGGAACTCGTCGCTTGGGTGTGAAGGCCTGCTGCTGCTATCCTGCCCTTTTCCTACTCATCATCTCTCTTATAAACTTAGCGTGCTTGCGACACCAAAAGTTCGATCTAGATACAAAGTGGCTGCATAGCCCAACCTGCCTACGATCATCTTTTCCAAAAAGAAATACATATTATGCGATGACCCCTTCACAAATGTCTTAAAAGCCTAGGACAGCACTGAGTTTAACATAAAAAAATCTAGTTACTAAACATTATAATATTTATTCCTTAACATATAAAAAATACACGAAACATAAGTTATTAAAAAGGGACATTAAATTCATAACTATACTCAAAATATTGAACGTAAACCTAAACTGAAATAACTCTCAATGATAAATACAAACTAAAAGCTTTAAAGCTCGCAACTGCTCTTCAAAATGTAAACAATCTAATCTATTGGTGCGCTCGAGAGTGCATCTGTGAAGTTGTTGTTGCCTAGCTTGCCGAGCGACCTCAACCGAACGATACTTTAACAGGCGCGCATGCGCCGAAGCAACCTCGCTTGTGCGAAACTGCGCTCAAAAGAAGCGCTTATAGGCGCGGGGTGAGGGGCATGCGGATAGTTCTCGGCCGTTCTGTTTTCAAGTTCTTATTTGTTTAGTTTTACTTTGGTTTTAGCATAGGGCCGCTTTACTTTGTTATTGCATGGATTGTTTCAAAAAAAAAGACTTACATTCTTTACTGCGATCCCCGATAAAAGCGCTTCCAGTCGAGTTCTGCTGTAAATCTGTTTGGAAGAAATATAAATACAAAGGTCAAATGCCCTAATATGCCATGCCACACAAAGTACAACCTAAACTCGGAACTGAGAAAGTCGACACCTTAAATTCTCTTTGTTATTTGCGCTTAAGCGCCTTTAGCTGGACTCTTTCACGCTACCAATGAAAAAGAATGATCTATTCTAAAACATTACTAAAAAAAATATTAATTGATTATCTCTACTTAAACTAAATGCGATCGCCTTTTCAGACGACAATGATGCTGCGCCAGCCGACCCTCTTTGTTTATTTTTGGGCGGCGACACTTTGGCGATATCAGATTTGGCAATAGTGGCTTTGGCAAAAGGCGAATTTGTGGGGGGTATGTTGTACAACTTGTGGCAATTTGAGCCACCCCTTCGGTGGGGAAAACCGTTGCGACGCTCCCAAATCTCTTGACGCTGCCAGTTGATGACCTCGCTTGAAGACGATGGGGTGATTGAAAATTTTTTATTCCCTGGAGAACGCTGCAAATTGATTTTCGTCAACTTGGCTGTCCTATTTATTTCTCAACCATCTTACCCAAAGGCTTTGCTCTACTAGCGGACTGGTTGTTCAAGCGGAGCTCAGGATCCGTCGATTTTGATATTAAAAGATCACTAAAACAAAGAGAACAACTTTTAACTAACTTAACCCGGCGGACAATTCTCCGCTTACCGCACTTGCACTGCCACTACTTATTCGCTTTTGTGAGGCTTGGGCCCGCGGTGCGCCGCTTTCACTCCTTTTAGACCAAGCCTACCCACACTTTGACCCTAGATTCTCGCGATCTCCACAAGAGAGGGATAGGCGCTCAGCAAATTCCCGCGCTTTTTGGCTATGTTGCTAAACGTAGGCAAAAATGTTGCTAAGCTTAGGAACATGCCTCGGCAACATTTATCTCCGCAACATTTTGTAACGATCCCTGATCGCCCCGAGTTGGCTGAGCTAGCTCAGGGGATTGGATTGGATTCGGTCCACGAATTTATACACGTGGCAGTACCCCGAATAAGAACACAAGAAGATCCAATTCACGATAATGTCTTTATTTCTGCTTATTTCTTGCCCGTGATACAACTTTTCGCTCCCCGCCGTTTCCGTCACTCCGTTCTTCCTCCAGGGGTCCACTCCGGGTTTCGCCGTTCCCGGGCGTTCGCTCTGACCGGTCCGCTTAGGACACCGTCCTAAGCTCCGATTGAGCTGCCTTGACCAACTCGATCGTCAGTGCCTCCGCTGGCTGGGACACTCGCCGGCCTTCGTCGGCGAAAGCGCTCGACTGGGCAGCTAGCGCGCACAGCTTGGTCACTGTCCGATCCCGTGGTCCGCCGGTCCCGCGACTCGGCTTGGGGAAGGCCTTCGGTGGCCGGACTGGGCTGACAGGGGTCCTTCGGGCAGGACCTGTTGGCTCCGTTGAATCACTCGTCTCCTGGGCTGTTCCGCCTACTCCGTGGCCGCGTCTTCGACTACGCCGTACCGCACTTGATCTCCTTGCTGCCGCTGGGTTCAGAACTCCTCGTCCTGATGATTTCCACTTCACTTCACCGACCATACACTGACTCGCGCCTGCGCACTAAGAGACTCTCCCGCCGCCGCGGCCCTCCTTATATACCCGGCCCGCCGCCATCTTCCGCCGGGTAACTTTCCATCACGTGATCCTCCACCAATGGTATCGCCGCTGGTCCCGATTAACGGGTCGCCATCGTCTTTGGCTTTTTCATGACCAAATAAGGTAACAAACTCGGGTCCGCCGCGCTGGGGCCCTTTTCATGCCCTTATAAGGTCACCAATCTTGCTGATTCTCGACGCTGTTCGGCTCGACGCTGCTCGGCTCTCCGCTCCTTCACCATTCCTCGTAGTCCGCCATCCCACTTGACTCTCCTTTTCCCCAGCGTCTTCTAACGGCCTTTCCCTCCATCCGCGGACTGGAACAATCAAGCGGTTCCCCGTCTAGAGGTACCGCTTCGTTCCCTTAGGTACTGTTCCCTGTATTTAGGTACTGTTTCCCGGTCTTTATTCTTGTGCGGTATTCCAATACCTCACACTCCCCCCTTTCTTTCCAGGGAAAATCCTCTTATTTTCCCTTCACCATTCCTGATCATTTAAACTTCCCGCGCACGCGCCGTCCGGCAACGCCGCCGTTTAAACCTCGCGCCTTTCCGCTCGAGTTGCCAGATCACCACGGATGGTCCTCGATCTCAGTTCGTGTCTTCGCTCGATATTTTATCCGAGTTCTCCACCATTTGGTATTTAGTATTCTACCTGGTGTGACCCTCCTACGGTATCGTTCACCTATCGGCGTTTCTCCGATCTCCAGTTCCATCTTTAGCATTTTCCTGGCCTCGTGTTTCCCTGCTCCTGGTAAGTTTTATTATTTTCCCCACTTTCCCAATCCGAAAAGTTTAAATCTTGGTGTCTTTTTCCTTCCAGCTTCCGCTGTACTTTATTATGCCTGCTCCTTCAGGACCCGGATCCCCCCTTGGACCCATTGGACGCGGTAGCGCCGCCCTGCTGCCCACACCAGCTGCGACCACCGGCGCTTCGCCCTGCCCCGCTGGCGTTGGACTGCCGCGTGGACCTCGTGCGGCCAATCCTCCAGCTGGACCTCCGTCCATCGCTGCCGGCCTGCTGGACACGACGCCTGCCGTTGCAGCGGTGGCGGCCGTTGTACCGGCCGCTCGGGCATCGACTGTTGCCGCTGCAACGTCGGCCGTTGCTGTTCCGGATCCGGCCACTTCCACTCACCCCGCTCCAGGTTCTCCACGGTGACGTCGGCGGCCGCCCCACCGTGCACCCTGCGTCCACCGGCGGTTCGACGTCCATCGCCGCTGTCGTCGCCGTCTTCCGGAGCCTTGGATCCCGGGGTTCCTCGGCCTCCTCTGCCGCTGTGGTCGGTGCTGCTGCTGGTGGCGGCCCGTCCCTCGTGGCACCTTGATGGGGGTCCGGCGTGCCCGGCGGAAATGGGTCCATCCACTGGACCAGGAACGCCTTCCTATGACACCACCAGTCGCCCACCGGCGTCGACGTCTGCCACTGCAGGTACACCGGTTCCTGCCAGTGGCCTCGGGCTCCTTGCTGCTGTCCATCGTCCGCCCCCTGCTCGTCGTCCGACGAGATGATGACCACCTCCTCCTCTGACTCCGACAACGGGTGCCCCCGTGGTGTCGGCGCTCTTGGTGGCCGCCACGTGGTTGGCCCGTCGTCTCCGCCGCCGGTCGCGTCGCCGTCTCCGCCGCCGGTCGCGTCGCCGTCTCCGCCGCCGGTCGCATCGCCGTCTCTGCCACCGGTCTCCTCGCCGTCTCCGCCGCCGGTCGCGTCGCCGTCGCCGCCGGTCGCATCGCCGTCTCTGCCACCGGTCTCCTCGCCGCCGGTCGCCTCACCGCCGGTCGCTTTGCCGCCCTCGCCGCCGGTCGCCTCGTCGTCCTCGCCGCCGGTCGCCTTGCCGTCTCCGCTGCTTGCGTCGTCCTCATCTGGCCACGGTCCGTGGGCCCACCCCGTGGGGCACGCCACCGGCCCTGGACTGCCTCGAGGGTCGTAGACTTTTGGGCCCGCGCCCCAGTCCGAAAACCCGCTGCCGCTGTCGCCGCTGTTCCACCCCACCGACGGACTCTCCGGGTACATCCACCGTCGACTGTCGTCCGACTCGGACCCAGTCCTGGTTGCCTGGGGTGAGACCAGCGGCGAAGCCAGCAGTTGCAGTACCGGGCTGCGGTGCCGGCGCGGTGGTGCCCTTCGGCGGACTCGGACGTCCCTCCTAGGATAAAGAAACGGCAGCCGCGTTCCTACACGTGGTCCTCGACCACGTGCTGCCCGCTGCCGTCTCCCGCTGGTCATCGCTGCGTTTACCTCCATTCTTGCTGCCTGTTCAACTTCAAGTGACTGAGTTGGAAGCTCGGCGACGGCATGGAAGCTGTTGGTCGCCTCCTTCGTATGATCCCGTTACCCGTAAGTTCGGCTTTTGCCTCTTATCTTTTACCTTTGCGTACTTATCTTTGTTCTTTTCCCCACCCGCTCTCCCATGTAGATTTGCTCATCTGCCGGCTTCGTTCACCTGCATCTGTGTGGTGGCCAGTGATGCTCGCTGCCCATCTGTTCCTGCTTCGGTATTATCCACTTCCTCCCAGTATTTTGACTGTGTACTCATTTCGACTTTGTTTTCCTTCCAGGATAGGCTTGATGTTGCGTTCGGATTTGGATTTGGCCCGGGTCCCTTTCCCGTTTGGATATTATTATTATGTTATTATTATATTATTATTATAATACTATCCATGTATTCTTTGCTAGTATTAATACATTCTGTATATGCCGGTGCTATGCGTCGTTCCTTGTGTTCTTATTCTTTCCCCTTTCCCTCCCGCAGGGCTATCCTTTTAGATCTCCTGCTTCCGTTTCCCGTTCCTCCGGCTAGGATTCTGGATTCCTTCGACTGGTCCCGCTGGTCTGCGACAATTGATGCACCCGCCTCTTCATTTCTTGTATTATTTTGGACCTTGCTGCTCATCTGCTCCTCGAAGCCTTCCCCTTCCTTGATGTTGTTGTTGTTTTGGGTTGGCTGTTCCTTGGTGGTGGGCACCTGCTCCTCCGATCTTTCGATTGGCTGCTTTCCGGCGTTGGCCACCTGCTCACCCGATCTTTCGATTGGCTGCTTTCCGGCGTTGGCCACCTGCTCACCCGCTGGTCCCCTGTGGTATTCTTCCTGGTCATCTGCGTTCCACACTTTCATTTCGTTGATGTGGGCCCTTCTCTTTCGTTTGTTTCCTTCCTCTTGTAACTCGCAGATCACAGGGGATATGAACCCGGTGATTCTGTAGGGGCCCCCATACCGTGGTGCTAGTTTTGCCGCGAATCCCTCCACCGCTTTAGACAACTGGTGCTCTTTGATCAGAACCCAGTCTCCCACGTTAGGCTTCCATAGTCTTCTTCTCAGGTTGTAATGTCTCGCTTGCTCCTGTGCGGCTTGCTCCATGTTTCTTCTTGCCAGTGTGTATATCTCCTTTAGTTTTGTCGCGTTTTCCGTTGGCGTTTCCACCTCTTGGCCTGTGCCCCAGGCGTTTTCATCGAACAATGCTTTAGGTAGCCTGGGTTCTCGTCCTTGGATAATGAATGCTGGCGAGTACCCCGTGGATCCGGATGTGCTAGAGTTAATCGCAAGCATTACCTCCGGTAAGCACTCGTCCCATCTACGTTGGTCCTTTCCCGTGTATTGAGCGATCATGGTTTTCGCTGTGCGATTCACTCTTTCCGTTGGGTTTTCCTGTGGCGTATATGGTGCAGTTAGCTGGTGTCGCACCCCTAATTCCTCCAGAAATTTCTTGAATCCTTTGCTTGTAAATTGTGTACCATTATCCGTTATCATTATTTTCGGTACCCCGAACCTGGATAGTATCCTTTCTCTAACTGCCTTCTGTACAGCTGCAGTTGTTGCCGCTCGTAGAGCTATTAACTCTGTCCATTTTGAGAATCTGTCCATCATAACTAGTAGCATCGTGTTGCCATGGATTGATCTTGGTAGTGGCCCGACAAAGTCTGCACAGACAGTTGCCCAGGGTTCCTCGGGGACTTGCGAGAGCATCTTGCCCGCTGCTTTTAGCTGACTCGGCTTATATTTCTGACAGGTTTCGCATTTCGAGACATAGTTTCGTACGTCCCTTTGCAGTCCCGGCCAGAAATATCCCGCGGAGATTCGGGCTATCGTTCTCCGTGCTCCAGTGTGGCCCGCTGTCACTGCGTCATGGTTTTCCTGTAGCACCCTGCTCCTCAATGCCGTCGGTACGCACATTCTCCAAGCTATTACATCTTCTTTTCCAGCTCGCTGGGGAATATGTCTGTACATGTTTCCCGCATCTTCTAGAAAATCCGGATATTTTGTCGGGTTACCGTGGATCCGTTCCTTCAGGGATCGTATCCAAGGGCATGTCCTTGAGTCCTCTTCTTCATTCCGCTTGGTCCCTTTCACCAGTAAGCATGCTTCTTCCTGTACCGGTTGGCGTGAGAGGGCGTCTGCTACTATGTTCAACTGTCCCTTTCTGTATACGATGTCAAAGTCGTATTGTTGCAGCTCGAGGGCCCATCTCGCAATTCTGCCTGTCGGACTCTCGATCGAGTTTAGCCATTTGAGTGCCATGTGGTCCGTTATGACCGTGAACTTGTATCCTTCAATGTACGGCCTCATTTTCGTGATTGCCCATACGATGGCTAAGCACTCCTTCTCCGTGGCGGAGTAGTTCTTCTCAGCTGCGTTCAATGTCCTGCTTGCATATGATATGACCCGTTCCCCTTTCTCGGCCGATTGTGTGAGGATCGCTCCTAGTCCCACATCGCTCGCATCTGTTTGAAGTACGAACTTTCGGTTAAAGTCTGGGCATGCTAGTACTGGATCGGATATTAGCTTTCCTTTGACCGTTTCAAATGCCTCCTGATGTTCTTTGGACCATTCCCACTTTGCTCCTTTCTTTAGCAGGGTCGTTAAAGCGTGTACTGTTGTTGCAAATTCTGGCACGAACCGTCTGTACCATGAGGCCACCCCAAGATACTGCCTCAACTCTTTCGTGTTTGCTGGCGGTTTTAATTCGGCGATCGCTGCTACTTTATCGGGGTCTGTCCGAATGCCCTGATCGGTTACCCTGTGCCCTAAATACTTCAGGTCTTTCTTAAAAAACTCGCATTTCTCTGGGTTTATTTTCAAGTTAGCCTGTCGTAGCCGCCGGAAAACTTCTTTCAAGTTCGCTATATGCTCCTCCAATGTTCTCCCTATTACGATTATATCGTCCAGGTATGCAAACGCGTGTGGCATCATTTCGGGTCCTATAACTTGATCCAATGCTCGTTGGAACGTTGCCGGCGCCGAATGTAACCCAAAAGGCATTACTTTCCACTGAAACAGCCCCCTTCCAGGTACCGTGAATGCCGTTAGTGGTCTACTTTCTGACTCCATCGGAATCTGCCAGTAGCCGTCTTTCAGGTCAAGGCTGCTTATATATGTCGCCTCTCGTAGCTGTTCGAGAATGTGGTTCATTCTTGGTAGTGGGTAGGCGTCTTTTTCCGATCTGCTATTCAGCTGCCTAAAGTCTACACATAGACGCCATTTTCCCGTCTTCTTTTTCACCATCACTATCGGGGCGCTGTGTGGGCTTTTCGACGGTTCGATGCAGCCTTTCTCTATGAGCTCGTCCACTAATTTATTAATTTCCGCCTGCATTTTGGGGTTTTTGGGAAAATACCTCTGTTTTATCGGTCTTGGATCGGTCATCTTTATATGATGTTGAGCTATGTGGGACGTTCCTGAGAGTTTACTGAACGCTTCCAGTTCCTCGTTCAAGAACTGTTTTATTGCTGGATCGTCTGTTAGTGGATTCTCGTGTATGACAGCCACCGATAGTCGTTCCTCCAACCACCCCTCATTCCTCGACCGTGGTACTATTTTTACTCCCAGACCTGCACATTCAAACCGCAGTCCCATTGTTCTCAGAAAATCCCATCCTAACACCAAATCGTCGATTATTCCTGGTAGAATTAGCAGTCTTATCCCGTGGCTTTCTTTTCCAAAGGTGATTTTTGTTTCGATTTGTTCTGATATACCTGTATTTTTCCCGTCTGCCAGACGTACTTGCCGTTTTATTCCTTTCCTTTTTGCCACCGTACCGATTAGTTTCGCGAGGCTCTCGCTTATAAAGCTCCCAGTTGCTCCCGTATCCACCGTCGCTTTATACGCTGTCCCACCGATTTCCACCGTAGCTGACAGGTGGGTGCCTTCGTCTTTCAGGCTTCCAATCAGTTTTGAGGGTGTTCTTGTTCCGACCGCCGCTGCTCCCTCAATGGACGGGGTCGGAATGCGTTTCCCCTCGCTTTGCAGCAACGCCATGTACTCACGCCGATTCTTCCGCACTGCCAGCAGTATTCTAGCCAAGCGTTTTGGCATTCGCGGGCAAAGTGTCCGTCTTGCCCACAGCGTCTGCAAGCCATCATCGGGTTGTTTACGAATCCGTTACCGGCCCTCGGTGCCGTTTGTGGGCCTTGTGAGTAACTTTCTTGGAGCCGCCAGCACTCTTCTGGTGTTGGCTGGTATTGTACCTCCGCCGCCATGAATCTCGGGCGAGTCCTTGCTTCCTGTCGTATTTTTTCCCTGTCCCTTTCGAGCTCTTCGAATTCGTCCGCTAATTTCATTAGCTGTAATAGGTTATCGCATTGGAATGGCCTGGCATATGCCCTAAAATCCGGAAGGCTTTTCTCTAATATGGTTTTGAGCTGATCCTCTGTTGAATAACGAAGGGGTCGCATTAATGTCTGCATCTCCACCATATAAACTTTGAATCGTTCTCCCACTCTCTGCCTTCTTCGATTTACCTCCTCCCTGAGTTTTTGAAAATAGTCTCTCGGAAGGAAATAAACTTGGAAGCTGTCTATAAACTCCGTCCATCGATCCCAGTGTTCATTATTTGCTACATACCATTTTAATGCCATCCCTGACAAAAGTTCTGGCATTGCTCGAGGGATTAGGTCTTTGTCCAGTCCATAAGTGTCCGCCGACCATTCTACCTGTTCTAGGAACTCGAGGGCCTTTCCTGTTCCGTCGAATTTGAATCCCCACTCCCTTACTTGTTTTGCTACTTTTGAGTAATCTCTGGGGGTTTCGGGCAGCCGATAGTTTGGTTTGGGTGGAACTTTTATTGTTATGGGGTCTGTAGCTGCTATCTCACCTTTTGGTTCTGCGTTTTTTCCTGGGGATGTTCGCTGGTGCAGTTTTGCTAGTTCGTTTAATCGTTCTATGTGTTCCGGATCTTTACTGTGTGTTTCCACCCACTCGCCGAACTGTTTCCTCATCTCGTCCACGAGTCCAGTTAGCTTGACTGTGA